CTCAAGCTAACACTGGAGTCTCCGCTAAGGCATGGCATGCCAGATTGAACTGAGCAACCCAGGTCAGAACCGTCGAGGTAGGCGCTGCGCGCCAGGGTCATGTACCGCTGGGCATTGCCGAAGCTCCTTGGAGACGATGAGCATGTTTTCAAACGGTCGCTAGCAGGCTGGGGAGCATGATGAACCTTTGACCCAAAGAGAAGGCAACTCTGCATGAAGCAGATTTCCAGCGTCCGAGTTGCATGCTGCTTCCGCCAACGACATTCGGGCGTGCAGCAAAAGTGTTTCGGCTGCGGGGCCAAACAAGAAGCGAGCACAAGGAATGGGTCAGCCTGGACTGAAATTTGCGTTTTCTGCATGTCGTGGAATTTTCGCAAGCATTCCAGTTCCTGCATGCCCTGCTGTCATGCCCTTGCAGCTGCCAAAGCCCGCACCTCAACGAAAAGTGACGGCTCTTCGTTCCTGAGGCAGCTGTCTGTCAAAGCTCTGCAAATCACGTAAAGCATGAGGTGCAGCACAGCAACGAGCTCGCGAGTCTCACGAGTGCAAAGGGAAGCTGTGCAAGTAAATAGCACTTTCTCGCGCAGCCATGGCACACATTCCTAAGCTGCCTAGGCCTGCTGCAAAGGGCAGCTGCCCCTGCATTGCCTGGTTAAAACAGCTTAAAGAAAGGCCATCTGCACTTTGACAGATAACGTTCAGCGTTTAGATCCGCGAGGCGGCGGTGTGCCAGCACCGATTTGGGCATGCAATCATTAGCGGAGGCAATTCCTATCAAATGCGCCCAATGTCCACGGCAGCCTTTTGTAGGCCACCCTATGCATAAGTGTCAATGCAACGAAAGTTTCGGAGGAAACCGCACAGCTGGTAGGCTCAGCAGTTGCCCAATCTTGCTTGATCCATTGCCTGGGCCTTTGGCTTTGGCTTGAATGCATTTGTGACCTTCCGAAAAAGTCCGCGACCAAAGTGATCGCAATGTGCCTGAATCTGGGCAAAAGCAAGATAGCATGATGGTTGCTGCCCAGCTGCCTAGTGACCCCCACGCTACATTCTCCTTTAGCATGAAATCAGTTCGCAACCTACGTTTCTTTGAAATCCAAGAGGCGTCCTTCATTTGGGTAACCTGGGTGCAGCACTTCAAGAATCAGCCCGCCAATGCAGAGGCAAATGACCATCTCGCTCAGCCCGTGAAATGCTTCATACTCATGCAGCCATGCACATGGCCAGGCGGCAGGTGCAATCAATCTGCATCCAAGCTGCGACCCTGTAAGCATCCTGTGCTTTCCTGTGCAGTTCCACAGATCCACTGGCCAAAATGACCAGAATGCGCATAGCATGCAGGCTGAAGCAATCAGTCATCGCTGGTACTATTCCCTACTAGCCGACATGACAAACATGTCAAGCATACGCGATTACACGAGAGACGGACATCCCAACTGTGCAGCAGCCAAGATGCGATCGCTGCAGCTCTGCTTCCAGTTCGTCCAGAGAGAGCTGCCTCTGGCTGCTGGCATTCGCATGAACCCTGTGGTGCGCGCATGCTGGGTGGGGGAGATGCGTCAGCTTGCAGCTTGCATTTCGGCCAACGGAAAGCATGACCTTTGAACGCCAAAATGCGCGCTTCTCTCCTCGGGAGACCAGCCCATACCTCAGGTGCGCACACGAGTGGCCACAAGATGCAAGCAGAGAATCTGCTGCCAAGATGCGGAGCTTCTCAGCTTCAGCCATCTTCTTGGCAGCTGCATGTTCGTGCATCAGCTGGCCTCAAGCTAAATTACGTGGCTCGCTATGGCCCTTCATTCAACTCCCTATGCATCTTGCACATTCTTCCACTTGCACAGTTTGGAAGCTCAGTCTGCTCAAAACGGTTTCACACTGCAGAATGCATACGCAGTTAACACCAAGCGAGCTGGGTGGAGGTCCTACGGCAAACGATTACTGTAGTGCAGCTTTAGAAGCGGAACTCATCGAAATTAATGGCGCCATCGCCATCGATGTCAAAGCGCTGCAGCGCCTGCTGCGTGACATGCTGACTCACGGAACGTTCTGTAGCCCTTGACTTGCATTCAAGTTGAGCGTGAAAACGCATGTCTTCCAAGCCCACCGAACCTGTGTAGCAGCTGTTTCCAAGACATCTTGGTGCCAAACGCAGCTAACATCGCTGGACTGTAAGACGTTCTTGATCTCCTGGCGCTGACAAATTTCGGCATGCTACAGTCTGCATCTGGCCACCAGAGATGGATGCAACTTACCACAACAAACAAAAGGTAGCAGTCGGCATATGTTACAAGATTCTGGTCCGGGGTATCTTTACCTGCACCATCCCTTCTGTCCGACACAGGGTTTCCTCATGATGATACGCTCTTTTGCTCTTTGTGGGCATAGGATCAAATCCGTGATGCGCCCCTATTGGGCAACTAATTTAGGTGAAGCAAATGGATTGGAACAGCAGCACATCAACTCTGAAGGAAATGCCTAGGGCTTCATCTCATGATGATAGCTCAGATATCAAACGCCTGTTGGTTTAGTAGATATTCCCCTTAGCTCTCTGAAGGACCTGCCTCGAGGCTGAGCTTGCCATCCTGCAGCTGGTCAAACGAATGGAAGGCAGCCCACAGGGATGACTCCTTCGCACGTCTATGTGTCGCACACGCGACTGACACTCGTGAGGGTGGCCATAAAGTCTGGGGCCAAGGGCTGCACACAACTAAGGGCATCTGCCGAGCTCCTCGAGGAGGACACGCTCGCCCGCAGCTGCTGCGCAGAACTCATTGTAGTCAATGCCTCCTCCGTGTGTAAATAGCGACCCTCAAAAAATTGCTGTTTCAGCTTCATCAAGATTCTGTTTACACCTTCGTTTTGATTGCAACCAAAATTTGAACCTCAGTGGGCCTGAGCCGTCTTTGTCAAGCCTTCCGAGGATCAACGTCAGCTCTCGCCTTACACGCATTTTCAAGATGTCGACGGCCAGGTGAAACCATGCATGGCAATCACGTGATCAAGATATGCCGCGACACATTTCCTGCGACTCAGCCGGATAAAAGGCAGAGAAACCCTGCCGGACCTGTTTCAGAATTTTGACAGGCACAAGAAGTGGAGAATGGTTGTTCTTAAATTCCAGCGTAAATGTGCGGTCACCTTGTGAGGACTCAACGTTACAGCCCCGCTGAAGTATGTACATGATATCGCAGTGTGGCCGCCTCGTCAGAAGTCAGCACACCATTCCCATCAGTGTCCAGACTGCAGAAGATCCGATGCACCTGACCGATTGTCTTTGCCCCCCACCCCCTGCAAGCAGCTGTTATATTTCTACTTATTACATGAAGTCACCAAAGTCAGAGGCTGAAGCTTCTGTCGCCATGCCTTGCACCCTGAGATTGGATTGGATGCACCCCCAAGTTCAGCTTGGATGTTGCTCTACGCTACACAATGCCAAAATTTGACTGGACAGCTGGGGGTCAGCACCTCGTTGAGGTGCTTGGAGCCCAGCTGCCGCACGACTGCCGCCACGCAGATGGAATAGAAATGGCCCAGGTTGCCTCATGGCTCCAAGTTTAGGCTTTGCGTTTGCAGAAACAGTTTCACAGGCCTGGTGCCAGTCTCGGGAACACTTTCAGGTTGCCGGGTAGTTCATGTAACAATGTGTGGAAGACCAAATTACCAGGAAACGATGCCCCGTGCGAAGCTGCCCATTTCTTAAACAGTGAGCGAGAGGACCTACCCGCATTCGGGAATGTTTGACCCATGACTTCCAGGACCGCCTTCTAATACCAACCCCGTTTGAAGCAAGCTGGGAGAGGAGACAGGTCGGGCTTGTTTTTTTACTCACTATGTACCCAGATGAACAAGCTCAAGGAGCAAGTTTAGGCTGTTTAGGCTTTGGCCATGATGCTAAAGTTCCGCATGTTGGACAGCACCTGATTGGCAACGGGCTCGGACATCACGGGATGCCTGCCAGCTACGCAAATGCCAAAATGGCTTCAGGCATCCGGCAACTCGTGACTATGCCAGAACTGAAAGACTCCTGTGGCTCTCCGTGATCCAAGGATGGCTGAGAACGTCCTGAGCAAGAAAGGTTACATGCAACTTACGTTCTTCTTGTGCATCTACCTGCTGCCTGTTGCGATGTTGCGCCAGACAAGCACAAATTTAGTTGGAGATGATGGCAAGAAAGCCACACGATACAGGGGTAGACGAAAGCCGCCAAAGATCTTGTACTTCTTTTGGGATAAGCTACCTATGCAGGTCTGGACAAAACCAGTTGGTCAAAGCTTGCCGGCCTGACCGTAGCAACTGTAGGGCAGAAGGTAGTCATAGGCAACGAGCCAGTTCGAAACTTGAGTACCGATCCGTGCTGGATCGGATTTCCAAATAGATTCAAGTCAGCATCTTTTGTCGGGCCTGCCTTCTAAAGCCTTTCTCATGACCCTCTTGCATTTGTCTGTGCCTAGCTGGTTTCTCGTGTGTTGGGCCGCCATGTATTTCTCTTCAGCTGACGAATCTGTCTTCCCCTGCTAATAGCATTGCAGAATGTATCTGCCTGATATGTCAACCATTAGCCTTGAGCTCATGTGCTAGGTCTGCAGGGTTTGTCAGGCAAGAAGCAAATTGAGAGTTAGAGTTGTCGTGCTGCCTGACAGCACACGCGAGTGGTTCTGGACCCCATGTATTCCTGCACTTCGAAACCTAATCGCAAATGCTGCTTCCAGGCGTTCAGCCTAATAGCAATTATCATTGGATGATCCAAATCTTGCTTCAACCCTGGTAAACAGCTGGCAGAAACTTTCCCATCAACGATGTTGAGGGCTCTCGTGCTACCTGTGGCAGAAGACGTGTGACCCACATTCCCCACAATGGCGGAAAGATTGAGAACAGCATCACCGGGGGCAGTCCTTCGGGCTCAAGCGCATCTTGGGGTTTGCCTGAAGGAGTCCGCGGATCAGAGTCTTGGCATCTTCCGATATTGACTCCCAGATTTGCCCCTCCATCGAGTACTGCTCCTAGAGGCGATGTGATTCCATTGAGAATTGGGGCGACTCGGATCTGCAAACAGGGACACCAATGCTGTATGCTAAGCCAATCGGCTCCTTCTTCATGCTCTGAAGGAGTGCTTTCTGATTGCCCCAGAAAGGCATCCTTCCAGCTAGCATGACGTAGATGAGAACACCCACGCTCCACCTTCATCTGACCATGAGGAAAAATTGCAACACTCCTTTTGGATGACTGACGCGAACGCCTTAAACTTAGCAAGTCTTGACCTTTTCTACGTCAGTGCATTGAAAGCAGTGAGTCAATTGAGCAGGGCAGGTCTTGCTGTATGCCACTAAGCTGCATATCGCAGGCTGCTGTATAGGACGTAAACCATCTCGAAAGTCTGTCAGCCTGCATCACCTGCGCTGCACAGATTTCAACTGCAGCGCATGCGCTGTCCTTGATGACAGGCAAGCTAACACTCAGGCGCATTCAGGGAGTGGCTGTCCAACTGTAACCGCTACTAGCGCGAGAGCAAGTGCGATGCACACATTTCTGCTTTCGCCATGCCTCTGGCGCGCAGTACTTGACTGTCCCAGCGAAGTGTCGCATTTTCCGCGCACCGAAGTCGTGGCCGACACCCCAGTCGATGACCTGCAAGAGGGCTGGTTCCACAGATCCCTAGGATAGCGAAAAAATCACAACTTCAAACGTCACAGCGGCCTTGATTTGATTGCAATCCGGATCCTGGCAAATCGGTGAATATCAACATCGGTGAATATACCCAAGTTTGAACTTGAGCACGCAAGCCGCAAGCCAAAGCACTTACCCCTGCACATGTTGTGCATGCTGAACAATCAAAAGCAGTTCAACAGCCAGCCTGTGAGCTAAACACGACGTTTTCAGGTTTGATGTCCTCAGCACGCAAACCCCCATGTTTGATTGGTTGGCATGTCGTGACATACAGCGAGGTCGTTAATGTGCTGCGTACCGGCAAGCATTGCGATCCCGTTCCAGGACTTAATGCCATGCTGACTGCAGTCATGTATCGCGGTGAGCAATACCCTTGTCATGCGCGTACTGCAGAGCACTCACCACTTGCTGGATAATTTCCGCAGCTTTCTGCTCTTCCAGACGGCGAGGCGTTTCTGTATTGAACATGTGCTCAAAAAGATCCTCGCAAGATTGATCTGGATCTGTGCATGACTGCTTGTTCACATGCGAATGATGAGCCAGAAGAAAGCAGGCCTTGCCCTCGCAAAGCTCCATAACATAGTACATCAGGGCGCCCTTCTGGTAAGTCTCGAACAGCTTGCAAATGTGGGGATGGTCCAAGGTTTTCCTCGGGGCAGGGATGCTGGAACAACCTGTAGCCAGGAACATGCTGCTGGGCCCATCTTGCAGTCATTGGGAAGTTTGCTAGAACCCGGATAGTCACTTGTCAACTTATTGTTGTTGCATGTCTGCATGGTCTAGCGCGTCTCACAAACGCAACTTGCATGCAGGCAGGAAGCATCAAATTCACCTCGTTCTCAGATACCTCTTGGTGCTGTCGGCTTGACAGCAGCATGGACTTGATTGCCACTTGGCGTTCAGGATGCTTCCGGTCAGAAGCTCGGAACACTTTGCCAAAACCACCGGCAGCAATCTCGAAGTTGTCTATTTGATAGTTGGCTCTGATGTCTTTGTCAATGTGTCTCGGTGCCATGCCCCGCACGCAGTACCTCAGCAAGTAGGCCGTGATGCCGGGGTTAGACGCTGTTTAGTACTGTTCGACAAACCAGAATTACACCCTAAAGCCTAAAATCGGGTATGAGCTCCTTTCGCAGAGATTTGTACACGCACAATCCCTGAAGCAGGAAGTCTTTCACAAACTGTCTACCTGTGCGCTTTGCCGTTGCCAGCTTGTGTTAAAAAGGAAAACGTCCCCTCACAAAGGCCTGTTGTCAGCCTGAAGTGAAATCATGACCTCCACCGCATGGGCCTTGGCCTATGCTGCTGACGAATAGGACATCCTTTGTCTGATGTCTGTCTTGCAAGTTCAGTGTGCTTGCAGGGTCACAAGCGGCCGAGGAAAGTAAGCGCATCATACAATTCAATCAGTATGTGGGGCTTGGCCTAAATGCTGTTCCCAGAATGGGGGAAATCTACATAAGGACCCGTATGAATTATAATAGCAGCCCGTATGCATTAGCACAAATGCAAGGAAATCCCCACATGCATAACCTCCCACAGGCTGGGAGACAGTGAGAGCTTGCCATAGGCAGGCTAAGTGACAAGATGTCCAAAGGCTCTTCCACCAAGCACTCCTTGGATCAAGAGTCTTCGGAACTTGAAGAGCTAGCAGGCGCAAGTTGCACCGATTCTCCACTGCTGGGCAATGGCCTACACTTGCAGATTGGGCCAAGGGTTCCTGCATCTTCCTTGCAAGGTACGAGTCAAGTGACCAAAATGTCTTCAGATCTCCCTGAAGCCACAGACGAATTTCAGGATCCCGCATTGTACTGCCTAAACAAGCTCGGATGCTGTGGCTGGGCGTGCAATGTAGCCGCCAGCAGCAACAGGACCTCAGATGGCGTGTGGTGTATGCCGGCTTGTATCATTTCTTCATTGCAACTTCTGCTTGGCATGCTCATTTGTTTGTAGTAGACCAGCGGCAAACCTGGTATCAAAGGGGAACCAGCAACTTGCTGTTTCTGGAAGATTAGGAACCACCATTGTATGAAGACCTGCGTATTCCAAAGTTTGGTAAACATCTCTGGGAGCCTGCAGTGTTAGCGCTGAATTGCCACGACTACCTATGAGTTGGCTCTTGTACACGGTGTTGTTGCAGAGCCAGCGGTAAACCCAGCACATGCGGAAAGCCGTAGCAGGTTTGTCGCACTTTGCTTCTTACAAAGTTGAGATGTGCCACGTCCCAAAGCCACCGCCATCACCACAACTCCAAGATAACGATGGCCACTAAAACAATCGATCTCCGCACGCTCTGCGCTGTGGGCCCAGAAGGCTGCAAGGTGAACAGCTGTGACAGCCTTCTCTTGCTAAGGGACTTGTCAGAGTTCGTGGATCTGCTTCGACAGTTTTGCGAAAGCTTGCCTGTTCTTGGGCTCGTGTGCATGCCTAGAAGAATGACGTCCCTTGCCTGCTTTTGCTTGAAGAACCATTGCTTCAGCTCTCCTACTGAGCTATAAACTCAGCTTCGCTGAGTGCTACCTATTAACTACGGGGTGAGACAGGTGTCACCTTCAAGGTGGCTTCAGGAAACGTTCGAGAAACGTGCAAGCCTGATATTGGAAGCCTCAGCCGGTCTACACAAATGAATTTGCCCGAGTTAAAATCCCCACCCTGGCACTCAACTTGGGGCCCTGCAATTTAGTGGGAACCTGAACACTGAAACCCCTTTGCCATGCTGCTGCTGCTACTACTACTACTACTACTGCTGCTGCTACTGCTGCTACTAGTAGTACTACTATTAGGCGTCCATTCCCCCCAGGCATCACATTTTGCGTCTGTTCATTATTATAAGGACGATAGGTTGGGGCTAGGGCATTTTTTTTGGGGTGGTAGTTCCGTACACGCAGAGCGCAGACTCGTCGACCACAACCACAAATGACTCACAGGCGCTCTGTTGCCGTTGTCAATGCATGTTGCGCTGAAACGTGCAGCTCTGAAGGTTCGCACACGGACACAGCGGACGTGAAAATGCCCCATGATGACAGCGACTACTTAACTACTTGGATACTGCCCCCACCGATGAACAACTGGAGAATAGTTAGAAAATAACCATGCAAAGCCCTTTGAACATGGCCCCTGGTGGGGGCAGGACCCAAACTACTACCACTATCTACCACCACCACTGCTACTAGCCGCCTGTTGGGATATCATAGTACGACCTCATAGTCAACGTTAAGCAAAACGTAGTGCCTGGGGCCTAGGGAGGGCAGCTACTACCACTTCTCCTACTCCTACTCCTACTACTCCTACTCTACAACAACAACAACGACTACTACTGCTGCTGCTACTTCTACTTCTACTACTTCCACCACTACTACTACTACTACTACTATTACTAGTATTACTACTACTCAGCAGGAAACATTTAAACACTTCAGGGTGCAACGCGGGTATGATATACAGACTTGATTATTTCTATTTCTTTTTCTACTACTACTACTACTACTACTGCTACTACTACTACTACTACTACTCAGTCGGACACAGTCAAACACTTTAGGGTGCAATACGGGTATCATTTACAGACTTAAACTCCCCCAGGGTCAAGAAGAAGAGCTTCTTGGTTTTAGTCGTAGATGCTTTTGGAATTTGCGTTGGGTGTCAAGGCTTGGGCTTTGACTTTTGTCAAGACTTTTTGACTTTTCGGGTTTTTCGGTACTTTTCGACTTTTCGGGTTTCTTGCGACCTTTCGGGAGTTTTCGACTTTTCGGATCTTTTGGACTTTTCAACTTTTCCGGTTTTCCGGTACTTTCCGGAACTTTTCGGGAATTTTTCGGCTTTTCGAATTTTCGGGTTTTTCGTTTTCACTTTTTCGGGGGTTCGGCAACTGTCGGAACTTTTCGGGATTTTTGACTTTTCGGGTTTTTCCGTTACTTTTTGACTTTTCGTTCTTTTCACTTTTTGGAACTTTTCGGGATTTTTCGACTTTTCGTGTT